AATTGATAAACTGGATGGAAAAGAAATTAGTGGCCGGAGGGTCCAATTGATTGAGGAACCAAGACGCCACAGGTAATCAACAGTGCAGTAAAATGTAAATTTAGCCTTTTGCTTAGCTGGATTTGTTTCTAAAATGGATAGTTTTGTTTTAGAAGGGGGTATTTTGGTGTTTGGGGGGGAAACTAAATGTGAAATCCCTTGCACGGATGTGCAAGCTGAGTCAGCCGATTGAGACTGGACACATTTCAGTGACTGATGAGCAATGTGCTCTTCAATCTAATACAGTCAACTTGAAAAATGAAGTCTCAAAATACAGGCTGTTCAAAGCATTGCATCTTCAGATCTAATTAATTCCTGCAGCTCTGTCATCTTTACTTCAAAAAGTGGCAAAGTATTCTGCATTCTTAACTGCTTTTAAGTTTAGGGACTGATGGAATCAACAGTGTATCTGCTTTGTTGCATTAAGAATACAGGAATTGTTTTTTGTTTAGTGTATTTTCAAGAAGCTTAAATACAAATCTGTGTCCGGCTGAGCCTTTGGCTGGTATCATCCACCATTGGGTCACTCCATTGCTGGTTGCTTGAAACATTGCAACAGTATAGCCAACTTGGTGCCTGCATGCATTTAGGAATGTTGGTGTTTGGTGCTATAGCTTTGTTCACTCTGCCCTAAAAACATTAGCATTTGAGTGTATGTATTGAAAACTGGGGAATAGTGAAAGCTAAAAGGGAAATTAGCTTGTACCTTGCCATAGTTCCATTGTTCTTGTGAAGTCCCAGAGTCTCCTGTTATAAACGTGCCAGATAATCATTTTTGTTTTCTTGGAATGGTTTCTTACACTGCCTGTTTCTTTTGATATTTCAGGTCTTGGACACGATCTCGCTCTAGAAGCTCTTCAAGATCCCGCAGCTACAAGGGTTCTAGAAGTGCTTCAAGATCTGCAAGCCGCTCCCCGAGCCGCAGCAGGTCTCGCTCCCGGAGCAGGTCACCAGCTCGTGATACCAAGCGGCAGAGGAATGAATCGCGCTCACTGAGCCGTTCACCTGAGGTCAAGCGTCGTAGGAAACCAACTCAGTCGAGGTCGCGATCAAATTCTCCTGTTAAATCAACCCGTTCCTGGTCTGGTTCTCGGGAGCAGTCCCCTGTTAACAGTGCAGAGTAACCACCGTGTTGTAGAAGTGTTTTTATAATTTGCTAAAGATTTTCTATGAAATGTTGGCCTCATTTTGATTTTTTTTTCTGTCTGATGCTGGGTTTGGGGTTTAAGTACTTCAGTTTTTATTTCATGCAAACAATTTGAACTTTATGATCCCATTCAAATACAGACATCTGATTTAAAGTATATATTGCTGAAAAAGTTTGAAAAGAAAGGCTTGATCGTCATAATTTTGTCTAGTATTGTTTACCAGACTGTACTATTGCTTCTGGTGGAGATCACTGGGACTAGTCTGAGGGGCTTCAGTCACTTCACATTTTGATAATGTGTGGTATTGATTGAGAGTTTCCTTAGCTGGAACAATTGGAGTGTCTAGACAATTTACATGAAAAGATATGGAAAATTTTGTGCAGGTAAGATGACAGATTTATAAAGCTCAAATTTGAGTGCCCCATTCTAAAACATTAACTGAAATATGTAGTTTGGTGACCTAATTAATTGGCAGTCTGAGTCTTCGAAGTATGGTTCTAATGAAATGGATCTGTTGAAAGGCGAAAGTGCTTCCATTCATTGAGGAAACTGCTGAAAACCAAAAGTATTTTAACTCTCAAACTAATTGCATCTAAACCCAAATCAAGCCACTGTTCACCAGCACAAACAACATTTAAAGCTTTGTACAAAATGGCTGAGCCTGTCGTCCTTTCCACAAGAGGACGGAGGGGGTTAAAATATTCAAAATGTTTTACAGGAAACCTTTCCAGGTTGGGTCCGTTCTTTCTTTGAATTGCTACTGGTTCAGGGACAAATTTATAATTTTTTTCCCCTTTTTTAGTTTTGTTTGTGTTTAATAAAGCAGTGGTTTAGTTCTTTTGGATTTTGTGCCAGACTAGCACACAGTTGCATCCTGCCTTTAGAGAGCCCTGCTGTGCTTGCACTTGGAATTTGCTTTCAATGTGAAGCCCTGGTTTGAGATTGCTGAGTTATCGTGGTTTTCTTTAACCTGCACACCAAGTGGAGAGAGGCAGCTTGTGGAGTTGGAGGTGGAGTGTAGCAGGGGAAAAAATGTATATATAGTTTTTGATTCATGTGTGTTAATAGTTCATGCTTTATTTGGTTCATTTCACATTGTTTTAAAATATATATAAATTTATATTTAACATGACCCATCCTTTAACTAGTTGCTAGAGAACCAACCTGGAATGTTGCTCTGCATTGGAACTGAATTTGAAGGAACAACAAGTGTACACCAATTTAGATGTTTGTACTTAACAATTTTATACAGAAACTATATTGCCCGATGTTCCATGTACCTTTACTGTATCCTGCTAGTTTAGTCTATTGTGTACTACATACAGGCTGTGTATCGCTATCATTCCTTGTAGCAAGAAATGGTACTGCATTAAAAATTAGTTACAAGTGTCACCTTCAGAGTTTGCTTGTTTATTTTCTGGGGTTTTTTGAGGGGAATTTGAAACTTTGTCACAAAGTGGTTTTGGGAAAATGGTGAAAAATTGTGGGAGTAACTTTAACCTAGATCTTCCAGGACCTGGAGAACTGCACTTGTAATTGATCCTTGTATAAGGTAAATATTTGATAATCTGAGATCCTAGGACTTCCAGTGGAAGGAACAGGGGAATGTGACTTTAGCACACCAGTGTTACTGTAGAGGTAAGTTTTCCATACAACTGGAGCAAAGTTTGTTTTTTTTTTCGTTGTCCTCTTTCCCCTTTCACTGTCTTTCTCTCTCTCTCTCTCCAAACCCCCCCCCACAATGCGCACACATATATGAAGCTGACGAGTGCTTGATTAGTGTCAAAATGAAAAATTCATTTTATGGAAAAGACACCATTAGAATAAGTAGGGCTTTGTTGAAATGGAATCAACTATTAAGTCTGACCTGAATGTGGATCATGTTGCACTATCTTTGTACATTATAATAGGTTTAGGTTTCCATTCTTCAAAAAGAATACTTCAACTTGTGTGGCAAAGAATAACTGGAAAGTTTATGGCTGCTTTCCAGAACTGTTAATGGTTGCTCTGGTACTGTGTAGCTCCATTGTGGGTGGTTTTGTGGTTAGCACTGCTGTGTCTCAGCGTCAGGGACCCAGATTCAATTCCACCCTTGTGTGACTGTTGAGTTTGCACATTATCCCTGACTGCATGGGTTTCTCTGGTTTCCTCCCATAGTCCAAAGATGTGCACGTTTAGGTGGATTGACCATGCTAAATTCCCATTGTGTCCAGGGATGTGTAAAATGGATTAGCCACGGGAAATGCAGGGTTTACAAGGATGGGGTGAGTCAGCCTGGGTGGGAAGCTCCTCCGAGGGGTTGGTGTGGACTCAATGGGCTGAATGGCTTGTATCCATGCTGTATGATTTATAAATTGGTTAAATATTGTTTCCAATACAAATATCTTAATTGTAAGTTGCACGTATGTGTTTATGAATGAGATGGGAAAGATGCCAATTTTTTCATTGGTGATAACACTATTCCCATCCCAGACAAATCTTGGAATCACTAGTGATAGTTGCTGACGTGTTTTTATAGTGTCACCTTTCCATTAGATAACAAAGTAGAGAAACTCTTAGTTTCTTTATTGTCAAATTTTAAGTTATTGATAAGTCTAGTAATTTAGTACACTGCAAATTCTGCCTGTCTAGTTGTATTGAGGACTACTTTATTTCCTGGTTTGTGGGATCAAGTGAGCTTGACTAGAAAGTTATTGGCACCAACTGTATAGTACTAATACCGAAATTCTAGAGTTGCCTGTTTGTACAGCAGTGGAGTGGGCTCCTGTGTTGCATTGTCCTACCTCCTGGGCTAGGAGGCCTAGGTCACACCTGCTTCAGAGATGTCACATGTCTGATAGGGTTGAAAAATATATCGCAATGGGAGCCTCTTCACTGATTGTAACAGGTTGAGATGGTTGAGGGGTGACCTTTCTAAAGATGTTTATGAAATCATGATGGATGTAGATAAGGTGAATAGCAGATGTCCTTTCCCTCAGGTGGGGATTTCTAGACTGGGGACATTCCTTTTGAGAGGAGAAAGATTTAGAAAAGACATGAGGGGCAACATTTTTTACACAGTCATGAGGTGGGTGTGAGTACAGTTACAACATTTAATACATGAATAAATGTTTAGAGGGATATGGGTCAGGTGCAGACAAGTGGGACTAGTTTAGGATTATGGACTAGTTGGACTGAAGGGTCTTTGTGCTGTCTGTCTGATTTGGTTTTTGGATTTCTGTTTCAGCTTCCACTAATGCAAATTAAGAAACTCCACTCAGTAAACTTTCTCTAGTTGCATCTTGGGAATAGACCAGGTCCTGCATTTGAAATTAAACTTTGCATCAGGAACACAACTGAGGCTGAGATTCTCTGCATTTTTTTTAAAACTGAGAGTTGATTTTGACCCAAGTGTGTCAACATTGTGGCAGCTGATGCATGTTTTAGCTGTTTCAAATTTACAGGTGATTTTCATAGTTAAGCATGGAAAAAATGGCCTGAGCATTTTTATTCATTAACAGGATGAGGGCATCACCCACATAGCAGCATTTAGTGCCCCCTAATTGCCCAGAGGGCAGTTCAGTCAACCACATTGCTGTGGGTCTGGAATAACATGTAGGCCAGACCAGGTAAGGATGGCAGTTTCCTTCCCTAAAGGTCATCAGTGAACCAGATGGGTTTTTCCTGACAATTGACAATGGATTCATGGTCATCATTAGATTCTTAATTTCAGATTTTTTTTTTATTGAATTCAAATTCCACCATCTGTCATGGCAGGATTTGAACCCAGGTCCCCAGAACAGTATCTGGGTCTCTGGATTAACAGTCCAAGTGATGATACCACTAGGCCATCGCCTCCCCGATCAGTACCAGGTATTGTACTTAGCAAAATAACTAGGTTAAGGTGTAAAAATAGATTCCCATAGCAAGTTGATTTGGAAAGGAAGAAACATTGCAGGAGTACAAGGGAAGAGCAAGAGAATGGAATTAATTGCCTAGCTTCTTCAAAGAGTAGGCACAGGCAGAATGGCCTGAATCATTGCCCCTTGTGCTGTAGGTCCTACAACTAACAAATCCAAATGTCTCCTTAATTTTGAACACAATTAAATTATTTTAAGCACATACAAAATCATAGTCATGATTCTCAAATAGCTCCAGAGTGTTTTGTCACCACCGCAGTTTTGGGATACTACTTTTTGATGACTGTTTTGCTCTTCTGGAATTGAAACAATTTGAATAGCCTTGTAATTACCAGGAGCTACACATTTCTCCATTTAATAACTTTGTGTTTGTTTCTTGGTATCTTACAAAGCCACTCCACTTCCATCTGGAAGGAGAAGGGCAGCAGATACATGGGAATACCACCTAATGCAAGTTCCATCGTGAGCTAATTCACCATCCTGACTTGGAAATATAATTGGCATTCCTTCACTGTTGCAGGGTCAAAATCCTGGAATTCTCTCCCTAATGCCTTTGTAGGTCTACCTACAAAGATCAACTGCAGTGGGTCAAGTAGGCAGCCACATCACCTCAAGGGCAACTAGGGACAGGCACTAAATGCTGGCCAGCCAGTGAGGCACAGGCCCCACAAATGAATTTTTAAAAAAAAAAAAGTGGAAATAATTTGAGCATGATTGGCAATATTTTGTTATTCCATGACGCCTCCCTCTTTGACTATGCAGTGGGTGGAATTTAAATCCTGTCATATCCTTTATTTTGCCAAGTGTTTGGAATAACAATGAAATGAATAATTCAACCTTTTGTTACACTATAAGCCCTAACAATATATTGCTACTTCAGACACCGTGTCATGGCCGGAGTGTGGTTTTCCTTGTTAAGACTCTTGAAATTTCACACCAGTCTATGGACAGTTCAAGAGTTGACAATGATTCCATTGTGTGCTGTGTTCAGAAACACTGTTGCTCTGCGATGATGAGGATGTGAACATTATGATCAAAGGATGCACAGATACACAGGCCTTGTTTATCAGTATTCCAATCCAGGCTACCAATGGGTTGAGATGAGAGGGAGATGGTGTTCAGGAGTGTAGTGGTACATGTTGAAGTCTTGTCATCTGGCTCATTGTCACTTCTTTCAAGCATCAGTGAAGATTCACTGCTGATAAACAACAACATACAGAACAAAGGATGAATCCATGAATACTTCGGTTGACTTGGACTACTTTTTTGAGGTTATTATTTGTAACTTTGCAGAGCAGCATTGTTAGGAGCACTAGAATGTCACAGAGCCTTGAGCTGGGCAGGTTCCTGGGACTGCAGGGAAATGCTCGTATGGAATAAAGAAATGCCACATTTACTGGATGCTCCACATGATGGAACAATCAGATAACACCGCCCACAAATTGCATTTTTGCAGGGCTGTGAGAAACAAAAGGGGACAATTGAAACAAATAATTTTCACACTCATCCCCTACATCACCATAAATTTTTTACAATTTATTTCATCCTTTTGCTTAGGTTTTTATAAACGACCATTAAAATCCAAGGATAGAGGGACAGCGAATGGAATCAGAATAATTGCACATTGGTCTATCTCTCTGTGGCATTGGCTGTTTCTTGAATGACCAATCTAAGTCATGGACAATGCAGTCACAAACAAATGCCTAAATCTACCTCGGTCTGCACGCTGCTGTGACAGTAACGTGCGTATCTCTGACATCAGCTCTCACCAAGATGCAAGATATACATCCACTTACTGTTTCCAGAGGTGCAGACAGCCAGCTCCTCCGCTTGTTATGAAGACAGTTCGATTTTGAGGCAAATGCCGCACCACCCAAGCCGTAAATTTGTATGGCTTTAAAAAGAGAATGAAAATATGTAAATTAGTGGCCTCTGATGAGTTTGTACTGCAGAAAATTTCCAACGTTGGATGCCCTTAACTGGAGTTCCTTAACTGAAATGCACTCTTCAACAGACCTGGAAATAAAACAAAAATGTATATTTCTGTCAGTTGAGGACTGCCCTGTGACAAAGGGTTGCTCTGTACAACCCCAAGCAGTTCATGAAGACAGATCAGAAGAAGCCTATTGTACAAACATTGAAGGTCACTGTGATCCTGTATACTTTATAGCGAATAACTGAAATAAGAGGAAAAGACTATTGTACGAGTTGATCTTGAGATTGAGAAGGAACAAAATAATTAAAAATGTAGAACTAATTAAGGCAAGTTTAAGTTTTGAAAATTCCATTAGATTGTAGGTCAAAGGATGGACAGTGAATTAAAAAATAAAATCTTAGTAAAAAAGAGGTTGGAGTCTAGAATCTTTGATTTTAAACTGCACAGATACAAGGTAAAGAAACACTATGAATCCTGAATAATTAAATACTAACCTAGTGCTGTCTTGATCCATAAATCTGCATTCATTGCAAGTCTAGGTCTAAACTGTTATTAATTAAATGCAAAAGACACAGATAATAGTTTTTAAATCTGAAATGTGAACATATGACCCACATCAGCTCATCTCATTCACAAGATTCCTCAAAATTCAAGACAGCTAAAAAATGTGTCTGATTTCAGGAGAATCTGGTGGGGTGGGGGGAATGTTGGGATTTCTTCCCTAACTCCCTAAAACAATCAAGATACTCTTGGCACCCAATGATGCATCACTTGGCAAACTCATGTAAGCTGCAAACTCCTAACATGGCTTAATGTCTCCCTTAAGGCCCTTGTTATTTCTTGGGTCATTTCAAGTCCTTCACTGCATTTGTCCCCCTTGGTTTTCCATCCCACAATACCCCAAACTAACAGAATTCTCTCAATCTAATTTTCATAATGTTCAATTGACACCCAATTTCAAAAGCTTTCTGGGGAAAGAGTTACAGATTTCTACTTTAAATGACAAAATGTTTTTGAAATCATCCATGAAAGTCCTAGCTTTGTCTGATATTAAGATTAGTCCAGAGATAGTAGGAACTGCAGATGCTGGAGAATCTGAGATAACGAGGTGTAGAGCTGGATGAACACAGCAGGCCAAGCAGCATCCGCTGCTTGGCCTGCTGTGTTCATCCAGCTCTACACCTTGTTATCTTAAGATTAGCCGTCCTTGTTTTGGACTCTTCCCCACCAGATGAAATATGTTGCATTGTAGCCACTGTATTAACTTATTTAACCATCTTAAAAACCTCAATTAGATCATCCCTTAATCTTTTATATTTCAAGGGAGAACAAGTCCTGTTATGCAATCCACCCCTAATAATTTAACCATTTTAGTCCAAAAATCATTCTGGTAAATTGACCACTACACCCTCTCCAATATCTGTATCTCCTGAGGTGTAATGCCCAAACCTGAATCCCATTACTCCAGATTATGATCTGGCCAGAGCTTTACATAACTGTACATTTGTATTATTGTATCAATTCCACCCATCAGCATCTTACCTTCTCACTCCGACAGATAAAGCCACTGTTTGTGTGATATTTCTGCATATTGAAGACATGGACCCTTCCTTCCAGCGTTGTTGCCACCAGTTTATTCAAACTCATGTCCTTTCCAGCAAACTCCACACAGCAAACCTACCCCAGAGTTAATGTTAAAATAAAATTATTAGTTTGAATCAACTTCAAAACCACAATTAGTTCTTTTGCTCAGCCATATTTTGTCTAAATAATATCCTTTCAGTTGTGATCTAATGGCCACTTTTTCCGATCAATGATCAAAGATGACCATTGGCAAAAACATTGTTCAGTTACCGAGGACATCCTATCCCAGCTCATTTCTTTACTTTTCAGATGTCCAGAAATAGCAGCTTTTAAAAAGAATCAGTGAAGAAACAAACATGCATCTTTTTCAGCCTCAGGAGGTCCCATATATCTTAACAATCAAGTATTTTTGTAGGGTAGTTACTCTTGTAATTTGGGAAACATGAGATAATTTGCACACTGAAAGCTCCCATATAAACTGCAATATGACCATGAACAAATTATCTAATTTTTTCTGTGAAAGAAATTTCTGCTTAAGCTTTTTGTCTTGCACTTATCAGGACAATTTGCAAGAAATACCAATGTTCAGGGAAATCAGCAATTATAGTGTATGTGTTGACTGTTTGGCAAATGGAGTCTAATTAGTACAGGCATTGTCAGGGAGTGTGCACCAGTTAGAAAACCTATTAGGATCCACCTGCCAACCAAACAGCACTTACACAGTATCAATGTTGTTTTCCTTTTACGTTGGTATTCTTTAAGAATTGTCCTGATGAGTGCAAGATGAAAAGCTTCAACTGAGGTTTTTCAGTAATATTCAGGTTCTATACCACCAAAGCATGAGATATTAATTTCTTTATAGTGATATTGCTTTGCAACAAACATTGGGCAGAAATGCCCGGTTTTTCAAAATAACGCTGTCAGAGAGAGCAGCCTTTGATGGCTTAATATCCCATCCAAAAGCACTGCACTCCCCCAGTACTCCATTGGATTGTTAGCTTAGATTATGTGCTCAAGTCTTTGGGGTTAGACTTGAGTCCAGGACCCTATGACTCAGAGGCAAAGTACTACCTATCAAGCTGCAACTGACATTGGACAGAAATCCCAGGCCCATGCAGGCTTAACTGATCTCAGCAGCTGTGGAAGTACATCTGGCTTCAATTTCCACTGCTGTCTCTTTTGAAATGCACTGGCTCAGCTCACGCCAGGAGCTAAAGTTAGTGTTTCACAGCGGCACTGAATTTGAATTCTCGCCGTGAGAATCCACTCAAATCACTCAACTCACCCCGCTCTTGACGTTTGTCTCCCATCGCACTTCCATGTTTCGTAAGTCAAACAGTTTAATATCCCCATTGTCATATCCAGCACAAACACAGCGGTCCCATTGGGAGCATGAGTGGCCTGAAAACCAGCCAAAACAAACATACTTTAAGTATACATATGTAAATGTGTGGTTTCATGTCAGTACGTGTTGAGTGCGATGTAGCAGATGACCTGTAACTTACCAAAAGCAACGGTCCAGCAATCTCTCCGGTTGAATCCTACTGCAGGTTCCATGTTGGCTACAGGAAGGTCCTTTTGTCGTGAATCCCAGACCTTCACTGTACCTGGGAGAAAAGGCACAAAATTGAGGAGGTCAGAAGTGTCTGGTATTCCTCACTTGCCATCCACAAGCACGTTCCCTTCCAAATTCCTTCTATCCCGTTTGATGAGAATCCAATGAAGTGCTGCTTCATGGGTTATCAGCTCTTGAATCAGTCTGAGTCAGCTTGGCTCAGTTGATAGCTTGAAAGCAAAAACATTCTGTTGTCAAGACCCACCCTAGGATTGGCTCCAACACACAGCAAGAGAGCAGGTTACAGCTCATTAGCTCTTATTGTCAAAGTCTAGGTAACTCAGTTCTGTTTTCACTCATACTTCCTACTTTCTCTTTGTCCATTTTAAAGAACAATACAGCACAAAAGAAGGTCACTTAGCCTGTGATCCTTGTGCCAGCTGTCTGAAAACTATCTGATTAGCCCTGCCCTTCTATCCTTTACCCATTCCACTCTCCGGTTCCCCTTTTAGAAGTTATGATTGAATCTGCTTCCATTGCTCTTTTGGGCAACAAATTCCAGATCACAACTCAGCACAAAAAACAACTTCTCCTCATCTCTCTCCAATTTTTTTGCTGATTATCTTGAATACAAATCTTGAGAATACTGACGTCACCGTAAATACATTCCTATCCGTCAAAATGCCTCACAGTTTTTAAATATCACAATTAAATGTTTAAAAATAATGGGACTGGAAGTTTGGAAAGAGCACTATTCATTCATTGAAGGCTAAACATAAAAGTAAGATACCAGATTGGTTTGTAATAACTGCAGAGAGAATTACAGAATCTCATAAACTAACTATTTGGCCCATCATGCCTGTGTTGGTTCTTTGGCAGAGCTATTTAGTCGCTCCTTTTCTGTCACTTTTTATCTGGGAATAAGTGGAACATAGATTGCAAAAATACACTGTGGTAACTAGAACATTCTGGATCAGGGAGACTTATAGGTGTAATACATAGAATATGGTACATTGTCAGTGATGTTGCCCTTAAGCACAATGCTAAAACAAGGCTGCTTTTGCTGGGACCATTGTAAAACTGGTGTATGTTTGACTGTTGGTCTCTTAATGGGGGTGTACTAAATTGAAAGGGCACAAGAAGCCTTGCACCCTCACAGTAGGGAGAATTATTTTAAAAAATCATTGACGGGATGTGGCTGGGCCAGCATTTATTATCCATTCCTAATTGCTTTTGAGAAGGTAGTGGTAAGCTGCCTTCTTGAACCATTGCAGTCCTTGGTGAGTAGGAACACCCATAGTACTGTAAGAATAGGGGTTCATGAATTTTGACCCAGTGATGAAACTGTGGAATTTTGGATAGCTGAGAACTTGAGAAGTAGCCTTTCAAATAAGCTGTGAATTATGGAAGATGGAACCAGGGAGACTAAGTTAACATATAGAAGAGCCTCAAGGCACAGAAAAGGTGTGGATTACATATTGGTGGAAAATCTGTGTTTGCAAGGGAGCCTCTAAGACGATCTATTGAACATTTCAAATTAAAATGGGTCATCACAAATAATGCAGGTTGTGTAAGTAATTAGGAACATTATCTGCTGTCTCATTGATTGGTCACATTTTCTCATTAGTAATGCCACCCATTTGCTTTGTTTAATAACTTGACATCTTTTGATATGTTTTACCCAAAGGGGCAGATCTTCCGAGTTCTTGGCCCCTTTCCTTAAACCTGGGTTTTAAAAACTCTTAATAAAAAGAGAAAATGTTGGAGAAACTCAGCAGGTCTGGCAGCACCTTTCGAAAGAGAAACAGAGCTAACCTTTGTATTTTCTGGGTTTTTTCAGATTCCCAGCATCTGTAGTATTTTGCTTTTAAATGGGCGTGACTTGTACAAAGAAGGAAATAAAGGGGCTATCTAGTTTGATAAGAAATTATCAATCTGAAACATTGGCTTGGTTTCTCTCTCCACAGATGCTTGCTGCCTGACATGCTGAGTACCTTCAACATTTTCTGTTTTTATTTCAGATTTTCAGTATCTGCAATTTAGCTTTTAGATAGTTTGAGATCCCGGGTTTAGGCAAAACAGTCTTGATTTCGTAGAACACTAGAGATCAAAAAGAGGCTATTCAGCCCATTGCGCTTCTGTTCGCTCTTTGAAAGAACTATCCAATTGGTCACACACCCTTCTGCATTCTCAACCTTGCAAATTTCTCCTTTTCAGTTCCTCTTTGTGAACCTGCTTCCAATATCCTTTCAAGCAGCATTAAAAAAAAGTCTTAATCTCCTCTCTGGTTCCATTGCAAACTATGTGAATAATACTTACCATCCCTGCTGCCAGTGACAATCTCTGGGGCCCCATGTCCGTTTTCAAGCCCACCCACACCATCAATGCCGTTAATGATCTCAAGATGTGCTTTGGCTGAGTACAGGGGAGTTTCAGATGCTTCCAGGTTCCTGTGGGGTGACAACAAGTGAGCTTTTAGATACTTTAATATTCACATTTTTGCTATAACAGGGGAGAATGATAGCTGTCCCTAATGAGTTGAAAACCCCTTTATTAAGATAAAGATGCAATGTAAATACAAGCTGTTGTTATGATTTGGACTGTTAGCTAGGATTTCATATTCCATGACCTCCCAGCTCAAACTGCCCCAGCCCCATGTCGAATCAATAGTAGACACAACACACATTATCCTTCAGAAACTGCAATATTCATTGCATGATTTTCTATGATTATAATGCATCCCAGATGGGGCCTGCTTCTTCTGTTTGTTGTACATCTGTCTGACGCAGCTGCTTGCTGGGGGATTTCTGGGTGATTAATCTTTATTTCTGGGACCAATCAAGTCGAGCTAGAAGGGTTTGGGAACTGCTCATGGAGCAAGAAAGCCATTTTCTATAAGTAGTGGGTCTCTGCTTTTACATAATGACGCCTTAGATACTCTACATTGAACTATCCAACTTAGTGAGAATAAGCACTTGAGTGCGACTTACAATAAGAGTGCTGGAGTTAGATGATTAAAGAAATTAAGGGGAACAATGGAAAGAGGTTCTCCATTGCTTTTATCTTCACTAACTTTAGCCTTCAGGAATTAATTTTCACTCTTCCGCAAGAGAAGAAGCTGGTTATTTAATGATTATCTGGTAAGTGATTAGATTTATTCTATTTCTAAGGATCAACTTGGTATAGCAACTGGTGAATGGTTAAGCAAGTATATTTTTAAAAGTTAGTAAATATATAATTGAATAAAATAATTGAGTAACTAAATAGAACATGTTAAGGAAGGCAGGAAAGGTCCACAGCAAACACATCTGCAGGAAATGTTTAAAGATCAAGCAGCTCAGTGTTTGTAAGCTGGAGGCTTAACTACAAACACAGTGATACATGAGGGAGTGGGAAAGTTTGATAGATTTTGTGTGTGAGGAGGCAGTCATGCCTCTTAGGAACTGGTTGTCTCATTTGGTCAGTAATCAAGGTCAGAAGGGTGCTCCTGAGATTGAAGTAGGCAAGGGGACTCAGAGGACAGCAGCCTCAGCCTTTGCAATTGTCCAACAGGTTTGAGATTCTTTCAGCTTATTTGGTTAAGGGTGAGGGCCATGTACTAGATAAATCTACTGACTATCACACTGTGGTATTGGAAGAGGGGAGAGAAAAAAGGAATTTTAGTGGTGTTAGGGTACAGTGTAGTGAGGAGGATTGATACTGTTCTCTAGTAAAGAGTGCAAGTCCAGACAGCTTTGCTGCTGCTGGGTGCTATAGTTCAGGACATCCGTTCAGGGTTGGAGAAGAACTTGCATTGGGAGGGGGAGGATTCCATCATCATGGTCTGTGTAGGTACAAATGACATGGGCAGGACAAAGAAGGAGATTCTGCATTGTCAGTAAGAAGAGCAAGGTGCAACATTAAAGAAGCAGAACATCAAAAGTCATAATCTTTGGATTATTAAATCAGCTACATGCAAATTGGCATAGAGCAAATCCTTGGAGAGAGATAATGTGTGGTAAAGACTGCAGTGAAAGAAATGGGTTCCACTTTGTGGGGCACTTGCATTAGTACTGCGGGGGGAGTTACATCTGTATTGATGGGATGGTCTCTATCTGAACTGTACGTGGGCTGGTGTTCTTACTAACTACGCACCTGGGGAAGTAGAGAGGATTTAAACTAAATAGTGAACTGAGTGATCAAACTTAAGGCACTTGTGGTATATCAAACAATAAAGTCAAAGCTGAAGAGAAAGGTATTATGATGGGAAATGATAAGCAGATTGTGACAGAAACAGCTAGAGAATACAAATCTAAGAGCAAACCAAAAAAGTATGACCGGAACTTACAAAAAGAATAAAAAGGTAAAACTAAAGGCACTGCATTTGAACATATGAGGCATTCAAAGCAAAACAGATGAACTAAGAGCACAAACAGAAATAAATAATTACAATCTGGTAGCCATTACAGAGATGTGGCTGCAGGATGAAATGGGTTTGAACTTAAAACTTGAAGGGCACAAGACATTTAGGAAGGTCAGGGAAAAGGTGGAGAGGTGGTTCTATTACTTAATTAAGGCAAATGCTCTGGGGACATTCCACTGTGACAGCTGGTGAAAATCCAGATTCATTACAATTCTGGAATTGAAAATTAATTTTTATAATGATCATGAAGCTATTTTTGCTTGTCATAAAAACTCAACTTGTTCACTAATGCCCATTAGAAGGACTTTGCCATCCTTAGCTGGTCAGGTCTATATGAATCCAGACAAAGACTAATGTGGTTGGCTCTTAACTGCCCTCAGAAATGGCATTGCTTAGTTGTACCAAACCTCTATGCTACTGGTGTACTCACATCATATAGACTGCAGTCAAGAAGGTGGCTCATCACCACTTTCTCGAAGACAATCAGGGATAAGCAACAAATGCTGGGCTTTCCAGTGATGACTTCATTCTATGAAATAATCTTTTAAATCCTCTGATCAATGGTATTGTGCAGACTCGGGTGTCCACATGACCTACCCCTGCTCCTGATCTGTCTGTCCTAATTTGTATCATTATATTTTAATCCACTGAGCTGTCCTGTCCAGACATAACTGCCCTAATCGTATAAAGTTTACTGACTGTCACTGTAGTGGCTGTGAGTTTACAGGTAGCCCTTTGTTAAGAAAGGCAGGGGCTCCTGCTCCTGAACACTGTCTCTTAGGCCTCTCAGAGTGAGATAGTGAGAGGACAAGATTACGCTATCACGTTCTTCACAATTGATCAGCCAACACTAAACTTAGAGAAGTAAAATAGCCACTTGGTGAGGTACTAGAGGTAGGCTTTATCATGGAACCATCGTCCTCAGAATGAGTGCTTTATGTAGAAAAGATGAAATAAATGGATTGGAGCAGTTGGGACAGTTCTCCTTAGAATGGAAGTATGAAAGGAGACTTGATAGAGGTTTTAAAATGGTGACGGGTATGGATAAAGTGAACAGAGTGAACCTCTTCTCATTGGTGGAAGGATCAAGACCTGGAAGATACAGATTTAAAGAACTGGAAAAAGAAGCAGTGACATAAGGAAAACATTTTCTGTGTAGCGAGTGATTAAGATCTGAAATAGTCCTTTGCTCAATTACTCCTTCAGCAAATCAGCACAGACAAAGTGGACAGAATGGCCTTCTTCAGTGCTGCAACCATTCTAGGATTTATTAAGGCTAGATTTTATGCCAGATTTTTGAATTTAAAGAAGTGTTTTCAATTTGGAAGTCTTTTATTAGGTGATTAATTCCATACTTTAACCAACTCAACAAACAAACCACTCATATTACCAGATGTGAAGATTGCCCTCAAAGTCTCCTGTTGCCAGATGCCTCTGCTGTAGACTAGTAGCTCCAAATGTCCCACATCTGAAAGCTCTGGGCTTTTCGATCTACAAAGCAAAAGAAATATGTTTTCCTGAGTCATAGTCTTGGTGAGCCCGAAGAAGTAGAAAAAGCTAATGCACTGTGAACTTCAGATGAGACATGTTTGGCTACTACCTTCACCATATCATTATTACCAGTTGAGTTTTAGCAAAGGAGATTACTGAAACTTGCAAATCCTGGCCATTTGAATTGAGGAACATTAATCAAGATTGTAGCAATAGGCATCCCAAACCTGAGTTATGTTCAGAGAGAATTCTGAGCTGTACTAACTCAAGAATCAAGAATTGATCACTCCAGTTTCCATTCCAGAGACTGTCACTCCCAGTGCAGCACTGAGGGAATGCAGCAGTATCTTTTGGATACAGATGTTAAGCCAAGGTCTTTTCCGTTTTGGGAAAACATAAATTATCACAAATCACCAGGTTCTTCCTGGCCTTTATTTATCCATCAACCAAAATCACTGAAATAGGTGACCTACTCATTATTGTGAATACTCAAGAAATCTGCAAAGGAATGATAAAAATAAAACATTTACATCTCAAGTCATGTATGATTAATACCATTAGATTGAATATTGTAGATTTTGTTCTTATTTTTGTGGAAGCTTGCTATGTGCAAATTAGCTGCAGCATTTTATATGAACATATGAATTAGGTTATGTGGCCCTTCAAGCCTGTTCCACCATTCAATAAGATAATGACTGATCTATTTGAGTTTTAAATTCCACATTACCCATATACCCCTGAAAACTTTATATTCTCTTGCTTATCTCCCTTAAAAATATTCAATGACGGAGTCTCCACCACTTTCTAAGGCAAAGTTCCAAAGTTGAGAGAAAAAAAACTTCTCCTCATCTCTGTCCTGAAAAGGTCATCACTAATTTTAAAAGTGGACTGACCCACAATAGTTGGCATCCTATCCAGGTCTACCTTGTCAAGACCATTCAGGATCTTATAAACTTTAAGTAAATAGACCTTAACTCTTCTAAACTCTTGTGAAAACAAACCCAGCCTGCCCGATCTATCATCATAAGTCAACTAGGTATCATTCCAGGTATATTTCTAGTAAACCTCCTCTGAACAGCCTCCATGCATTTACATCATTCCTTCAATAAAGAGACCAAAACTGTACACTGTATTTGAGATGTGGCCTCAACAATGCAATAAAGGATAGATTCCCCTAACTCCTTTTTAATCATTCATTGTCCTTGCATAATGTTCAAAAAAGGGAATAGAGATAACCCTGGAAATTACAGGCCAGTTAGTCTTACTTCAGTGGTGGGCAAATTATTGGAAAGGACTCTGAGAGATAGAATTTATGATCACTTGGATAGGCACAGTTTGATTCGTGATAGTCAGCATGGATTTGTAAGGGGTAGATCATGTCTCACAAACCTTACTGAATTCTTTGAAGAGGTGAGCAAACACGTGGATGAAGGTAGAGCAGTGGATGTGGTATACATGGATTTAAGTAAGGCATTTGATAAGGTTCTCCATGGTAGGCTCATGCAGAAAGTAAGGAGGCATGGGATAGGGGGAAATGTGGCAGATTGGTTTCAGAATTGGCTGACCCTTAGAAGACAAAGGGTGGTAGTGAACGGAAAATATTCAACATGGTGCTCAGTTACGAGTGGTGTACCACAAGGATCTGTTCTGGGTCCTCTTCTATTTGTGATTTTTGTAAACGATTTGGATGAAGAAGTGGAAGGGTGGATTAGTAAGTTCGCAGACGATACAAAGATCGGTTGAGTTGTGGACAGTGCGGAGGGCTGTTCTAGGTTACAAAGGGACATTGATAGGATGCAGAGCTGGGCTCAGAAGTGGCAGATGGAGTTTAGCCCTGAAAAGTGTGAGGTGGTTCATTTTGGAAGGACAAATTTGAAAGCAGAATACAGGGTTAACGGAAAGATTCTTGGCAGTGTGGAGGAGGAGAGGGATCTCGGGGTTCATGTCCATAGTTCCTTGAAAGCTGCCACCCAGGTGGATAGAGTTGTTAAGAAGGTATATGGTGTGTTAGCTTTCATTAATAGAGGGATTGAGTTCAAGAGCTGTGAAGTTATGCTCCAGCTATACAAAACCCTGGTTCGGCCACATCTGGAGTATTGTGTCCACTTCTGGTCACTTCATTACAGGAAAGCTGTGGAAGCGTTGGAAAAGGTGCAGAGATTTATCAGGATGTTGTCTGGAATGGAGGGAAGGTCTTATGAGGAAAGGTTGAGAGAGCTAGGGCTTTTCTCTTTAGAATGACGAAGGATGAGAGGTGACTTGATAGAGGTGTACAAAATGATCAGACGTATAGATACAGTGGACAGCCAGAGACTTTTTCCTCGGGTGGAGGTAGCTATTATGAGGGAGCATAGTTTTAAAGTGAGTGGAGGTAGATATAGGGGAGATGTCAGAGGTAGGTTCTTTACTCAGAGAGTGGTAGGGGTGTGGAATGCATTGCCGGAGAGGGTAGTGGAGTCGGCCTCATTAGGGGCATTTAAGCGGCTATTAGATAGGCATATGGATGATAGTAAAAGGTAGAGGTGGAGGTTAGAAAGACCTTAGGTTTAGGGTAAGTTCGGTACAACATCGTGGGCTGAAGGGCCTGTACTGTGCTGTACTGTTCTATGTTCTAATAACCTATTGTGACTCATCCACCATAATATCTAGATTGCTCTGCACTTTGAAATTCTGTAGTTGTTACTGTTTAAATAATACTCTGCTTCTTTATTCTTCCTGACAAAAAGAAAATGTGAAATTGTTCCCACATTATGTTCCTTCTGCCAGATTTTGTCCAATGAAACTATGTCTGTATCCTTGTTACGTCATATTCAAGAAATACTTTCATACCTATCTTTACGTCATCTGCAAATTTAGATACCAAGCCTCTGATACCCTCACCTAAGTAATTGATATAAATTGTAAAAGTTTAAGGGCCCAGCACAGGCCTCGAGGGACCCCACTCATCAGATTCTGCCAATCTGAAAAAGTCTCATTTATTCATAATTTCTATTTTCTGCCAGTCAACCAGCCTTCTATTAATGCTTGTATGTTACCCCCGATACCATGAACTCTTATTTGTGCAATAACCTTTTGTGTGGAACCTTGTCAAATGCCTTCTGGAAAACCAAATACAGTACATTAATGGGCTCCCCTTTATCCACAGTGCATGTTATTCTGTCAAAGTATTTCAATGAAATGAAGTAAACAAAACTTCCCCTTTACAAAATGCTGGTAATTCTTCCTAACTACCTCAAGTTTTTCTAAGTGCCCAGATATAACTTCCTTAATGATTGATTCTAACTCCTCCATGACAAATGTCAAACTAACTGCCCTGTAGTTTCTTCTTTTCTGCTTCTGTCCCTTCATGAAATAGCAGGATCTGACATGTAGGGTCCCTCGAGGTCTATGCTGGGCCCTCAAAATTTTGCAATTTATATCAATGACTTAGGTGAGGGGATTTTTGACTATATTTACTACATTACATTCAAATGGAATCTTTGGAGAATTTAACACATTTTGGAAAATTAACACCAACATATCGATTAGCTTGCAGCTACTTCTTTTAAGATCTAAGGGTGACGTCCAACAGTACCCAGAGGCTTATCAACCTGTAGCTCCATCAGTTTACCCAATACCACTCCCTAGTGATTAGAATGGTGCCAAGTTCTTCCCTTCCTTTAAATTCCAGATTTAGACATATTACAGAAACTTTTAAAAACATTTTCTATAGCGAAGACATAAGCAAACAACTTATTAATTGTGTCTTCCATTTCTTTTTCTACACTTACAACAGTAACTACGCTCCAAATTAAGAATGGGTAACAATGCCTTGTCTCATCCTGGAAAAAGGGAATTTGATAATTTTACCTTCTTTGATGCCAAAAGAAAGACTTGTGTTTATAGAGAACCCAATCACAGTATTTACAAACTCGGTAACTACTTAATATTACAATAAATTACAATGATGTGGAGCATGATGTGGACACCTCATTCATACAAGAGATGTGTTGATTTGTATATAGCAAATTCCCACAAACAGAAATGATGTGAAAAGAAAGACATGCATTTGTATGCCACCTTTCATAGCCTCAGAACATTCCAAAGCTTTACAGTCACTGAGGTACCTTTTCAAGTTCAATTACTGTTGTAATGTGAGAAACACAGCTACAAATTTCTGCACCGCAAGCTCTCACCAATAACACTGAGGTAATGTTACAGTGTGATGTTGACCGAGGGATAAATATTGGTCAAGTATCATGGAAACCTCTTCTGCTCTTCTTTGCAATAGCCTTGTATCTCTTATCTCCACTGAGAGGGCAGACAACACCTCTGACAGTGTAGCATTTCCTCAGAACTGCACTGCAGTGAAAAACCTGCCATATATAGTGTTTCTTTCAGCCCTTGTACATACAACTTCGCCAAGTTAATAATGGGCAGGTAGAGATATTGTGGGCTTGTCACTAGACTAGAAACCTACAGCACCCAGACTAATGCTGTGGAGATGTGGTTTCAAATCTCACCATAGCAGATAGTGAAACTTTAATTCAATAAAGTATAGAATTTATATAAAATCTAATGGCCATGGGAGTCCTGTTGATTGTCATAAAACACCTGCTGCTTCACTAATGCACACTGACTTCTTAATAAATCCTTTGGATGCTGGAAATCTGAAATAAAAACAGTGGTTGAAATGTTAACTCTGTCTTTCTCTCTCCTCAGATGCTGAATTTCTCCAGCATTTTCTGTTTCAATCTGCCACCCTTACCTGGTTTGGCTTATATGTCGTTCCAGACTCAGAGAAATGTGAGTGACTCTTAACTGCTCTCTGAATGTAAGTCAGCTCAAGGGCAATCAGAAGTGGGCAATAAGTGCTGGTCCTGCCAGTGGGTTCCACATCCCATAAAAGAATCAAAAAGCTCACAGAAATTGTAGATTCTGGAATGTTAGTACAGAAGGTAACTAAAGGCTGTGAAAGCAAAAAGACAAAATTATCATTGTCATCAGTATCTGCAAGAAGTGCGGGGGACAGTGTAAGTGGCTTATCCAATAGTCACTTCTTTAAATAGTTATCATCCTTTTAAATTAGAATAAAAAACCCACAGATCTTGGGCAAAACTGCAGAATAATGAGAAGGAATAACCGCTGACACATTTTAAGTTATTTTATCATTTTTTATCTTTGTCTTTCCTCCAGCCTTAGTGTAACATCTAGGAATGTTCCAAAAACAAAATCGGAAACAGAGATAATCTCAATTAACAGGAAATATGGATCATATACAACTTGCCACTCTTCAGTGTGAGTATACACAGTGCAGCAATTTTATAGATATTTATATTCCAATCACCTTCCACGTGTTTCTATAACAATATAACAGTTGGAAGTAATCTGATACAGTTGTTACAGTAGCTATTATGCCGGAATTTTAACCATCATGTGGCTCAACTGGTAACTGCACTATGCAGTGCAAAGATGCAAACCAAAACTCCCAGGTTCTGGTAAGTAGGTAGAAAGAGTTGGATATTTAGGCCGGTGGATGAGTTTCCAAACAGATTGCCGTGTTCTAGATGAACTTGAGCTTTTTGAATATTGTTGAAGCTGCACTCATCTAGGCAATTGTTGAGTGCTCCCTCATACTCCTGACTGGTACCTTGTAGTTGGTGGACAAACTTTCAAGTGTCAGGAGGTGAATTGTTTGTTGCAGAATACCCAGCCTCTGACCTGCTCTTGTAGTCATAGTAAGTATGTGGCTTGTCCAGTCACTTTCTGGTCACTGGTGACTGTGAATTCTAGTTGTTGTAGATTTACTTACAATAATGACCTTGACTGTCGAGGATACATGATTTGATTCTCTGTTGTTGGAGATGGTTTAGTCTGGTACTTGTGTGATACAAAAAATATTTGCTACTAATCAGCCCAAGCCTGAATTTTGTCCATTTTTGGCTCCAGGCAGATACAGACTTCTTTAGCATCTGAGCAGTTGCAAATGAAGTTGAACACTACAATCAAGAGTGAAAATTCCCATTTCTGACCTTATGATGGAGGGAAGGTCGTTGATGAAGCAGCATTCCCTACTTCCCAGCTCCATTTCTGCTGAGATTTAATTAAGAGGCTTAATTCTGCTGGATTTCCAGTTCTATCTTCATGGCTTCCCCAATCCACCCTACAAACTGACCAAACCTAGCTCCACTACTGTCAAGAAACGTTGGTGGTGAGGTAAGTTGTAGGTTGAACATTGCCATGGCAAGAAACCAATTCCTTCAGGGAAGAAATAAACTAAATTTACAAGATAAAACCCAGAACCATTTGTCAATGTGTGAGTCATCGAAACAGATATGTTTGTGCAAGTGGAAATTGAGAATATATATCCTTCAATCTGAAAATTTAGGGTCTGAATGTCTTCTAGTTCTGATGTAAGGTCATCGGCCTGAAATGTCAAAAAAGCTCTATTTTGCACAAATGCTATCTAACCATCCGAAAGCTTCTACCATTTTCTAGGGTTTTTTTTTTCTAATTTCCAGCAGCCGTACTTAGTAATTTCGCTGCTGCCCAGTTCTACTGTAATGGTCGAGAATGGGATCAGGTTCTCGCCAAATGGAACAGGACCAATTAATCCAATGTACAAGGATCCCTGGCTGCAATGTAACCATTATTTCGCTGGCCAATCGCAACATTAAATCTCTGTCATTGCTGCATTGTAACGTTCTCCACCATCCTGTAACATATCCCTTATCTTTTCCCCAACATTCGCTACATGGGGTGTAGAAAAGCTAAAAGAGAATTAAACAAAGAGTTACCGTATGTACGTCTCTGATCTCGCCGCTCGTTGTTCCGTACACCCTGATGATTCCCCTGTTTGGTGCCCCGGAGCCGGAGTCAGTCCCCAGGCAAACGAATCGGTTACTGCACGGGATCCACAAACAGCCAAAGGGGGTGAGAGGTAGCTTCCGATGTGATAGGGACAGCAGCCGGGGCTTGGGACAGTCTGACATCGCGACCCTGTTCCGCAGATAAAGGATGAAATAGGAGGGGATGAAAGATTAATTATAGATTTAAAAAAAAAGATTTAATTTAAATAATGCAGAATGCCCTTTGTTTACAACCGATCAGAATCTCAACAGAACACATTCAATTATATTTAAAGAACACAGAATGTTCCAAACGGCGCGGGTTCTTAAAGGTCTGGACCAAACTAACAAAAAAATTAAAACTTGAACATTGGTTTAAAATCGTGTTGTTATAATTTAGGTAAGTCCCAGGCTTGATTTTAGGGCTATTTTTACAAGATTGCTTTGAACAAAAAGTTTGAAGCTAGTAAAATAAATCTCAGGCCAGATTTGAAATAAAACATATCAGAACTCAGACGAAACGCGCTAAACAAGGCCTGCCTCCGCTCAAAGACTGAAAATAACCACCTCCTGCTGGTTGACAGAGTAATATTCTGGAAAATGACAATAACTTTGTGTTTATATATCATCTATCCGGACTCCCTAACGTACCCAAACCGTTTTACACCCAGTGAAGCATATCTTGAAGTGTAGCTACTGTTGTGATGTAGAAAAAGTAGCCTAATTTATCCACGGCAAATAGCAATGTTAATAATGACTTGATTAATCTATTTTTCAGTGATGGTGGGTGAAGCAGTCAGACAATCAGGAGGGACCAGCGGCTTTTCTTTTCGAGTGGTGTGGTTAGAATTTTAACATATCACCCAAAAGATAATGCAGTATTCCCTCAGTACTGCAGTGGCCTAGCTTTTGAATAATCTAAACCAGTGCTGAGTCATTGGAGGTGCCGTCTGTGCAGGTGGATGTAAAAATACCCAGAGATAACAAGGTGTAGAGCTGGATGAACACAGCAGGCCAAGCAGCATCAGAGGAGCAGGGTCTAGGCCCGAAACGTCAGCCTTCCTGCTCCTCTGATGCTGCTTGGCCTGCTGTGTTCATCCAGCTCTACACCTTGTTATCTCAGATTCTCCAGCATCTGCAGTTCCTACTATCTCTGTAAAAATACCCTGGCACTTTTGTTGGAAATGGTGTAAACTGTTTTGCTCCCTGGCCAGTACCTTTCAAACAAAATAGATTAACTGATAAATGATCTAATTAACTGTCTTAGGACATAACTATAACTGCTAAACAGAAAGATACTAAGCTGTCTTCCATCTCAATGTACAATTTCTATTTAGAGATAGCAAGAACTGCAGATGCTGGAGTCAGAGTCAACATAGTGTTGAGCTGGAAGAACACAGCAGGTCAGGCAGCATCAGAGGAGCAGGAAAGTCGACGTTTTGGTTCGGGACACTTCTTCAGGGTCCTGTCCTGATGAAGGGTCCTGATCTGAAACGTTGATTTCCCTGCTCCTCTGATGCTGCCTCCTGACCTGCTGTATTCCTACAATTTCTATTTAGTCTGGCTTACTTTGATGTTGTATTTGGCTTTATCTTACAGACTACACAGCTTAGTATTTGATATGGATTGATGCCCCTTTAAATTTTCTCAATAGCTTGTACAACTTCCTCTCACAGATCAGTTCCTTTAAACTTGGAATAATTTCTGTTGTTCATGCCTACACCCTCTCTAATTAATGTACCTTTTTACATAATATGGTGATAGTTGGAGATATTTTCAAAGTAACTTCTGTAGACATTTCTGCTTATTCTGTATGTCTGAAATACCAATCGGGTTTCCATCGTTTAACCTCATTGGAAGGGAGAGAAAGAGCTTGCTGATGCCCTGTGACTTTGCCTCACAGAGACTTGAAGGCCTAAGATTCAATCCCCAATTTGTGTAGCTGATTTAGAGAGCACAGTTGGCTGAGACTAACAGATCAATGAGACAACAGCAGTTCCAAAGCTCTAGGCACATGGAAATGTCAACAGGAAGCAACAATGTAAACACAAATAGGGTGGTGCAGGGGGGAGGGGGTGAGTTGAGGCCCAGAAGAACAAGCCTCGTATTTGACCTTTGCTGTAGGACGCACAGTCCTAGGTGAGTAGGTACACTGCAGAAGTGAAGGAAGTGAGATTCTGAGAATAAGACATGAATATTTAGGATAAACTGGGAGAGTTGATTTTAACTGTTGTAATAGATTAGGCAGGTGGGCATCAGTAGGTGGAAAAGGTCCTTTCCTACCAGTATGAGGTCTAAGTCAGTAGAGCAACACACATGCATTCTGCCGCTAAGCTATGGGGCACCCACTTTGGGAATTGGTGGGCACAAAATTATTGCATTTGTTTTTCTACATTGACATCTGTCTTTTTTTTATTTGTTTATTTGTGGGATGTGGGTGTCACTGGCTGGGCCAGTATTTATTGCCTGTCCCTTGTTGCCTCCTGAGAAGGTGGTGGTGAGCTGCCTTTATGAACTGCTGCAGTCCACCTGCTATGGGTTCACCCACAATGCCCTTAGGGATGGAATTCCAGGATTTTGACCCAGTCACAGTGAAGGAACGGCGATATATTTCCAAGTCAGGATGGTAAGTGGCTCGGAGGGGAACTTGCATGGGGTGGTGTTCCCATGTATCTGCTGCCCTTGTCCTTCTGGCTGGAAGTGGTCATGGGTTTGGAAGGTGCTGTCTGATGATCTTTGGTATGAATATTGTTGCTTGTCGAATCTGTGAGACAGCTATCCCAATTTTGGCACTCGCCCCCAGATATTAGTAAGGAGGACTTTGCAGGGTTGACAGGGCTGTTTCTGCCATTGTCTTTTCCGGTGCCTAGGTAGTTGCTAGGTGATCCATCTGGTTTCATTTCTTTGAGACTTTGTAGCAATTGGTGCAACTTGCTAGGCCATTTCAGAGGGCAGTTAAGTGTAAACCACATTGCTGTGGGTCTGGATTCACATGTAGGCCAGACCAGGTGAGGATGGTAGATTTCCTTCCCTGAAGGAAGGACATTAGTGAACCAGGTGGGTTTTTCCAACAATTGACAATGATTTCATGGTCATCAGTAGATTCTTAAGTCCAGATTTTTTAAAATTGAATTTCAAAAGCCACGGCAGGATTTGAACTTGGGTACCCAGAACATTAGCTAGGTTTCTGGATTAATAGTGTAACAACAATACCATTCGGTCATTGTCTTGAGCTCCTTGTGAATGCTTTTAGACAGGCAATGAAATACTGTGAAACACAAGGGCCTGGCTAAGTGCTAATTAACTGCAGTTTGTTATTCTGGCTTTTATTTTCAATGTTTTTAATTATGGTGTTCCTTGACTTTGGGGTTTTCATTAACACCTGCAAAATAATAATTACTGATTAATTGCACAACAGAAGTTGAGCTGAAAGGGAGCAATATTACCAAGCTTGCTGAAACAGTGGCCCACAACCATCACCAATCACCTTGGGAGATCACCCTCAGCTCATGGAATTGGGAATTGCTCTGCACTGCAAATTCCATCTGGGATGATAGTAGTCTCTCTCCCCATACTTAAACAGCCTCTACCTGGACCTCAATCAAGTATTAATTCTTCATATTTAACTATAGCCGGTGAGTAAAAGCCTGCCCAAAGTTAAGGGAAAATTAATGAAGATGTTCAAACTTATGAAGGTTTTTGCAAGTGAAAAACAATGAGAAACTGTTTAGACTGGCAAGTGGGCTAGCCACTAGAAGTGACAGATTTAAGATAATTGGTGAAAGAGCCAGAATGAACATTAGGAAGTTTTATGCAACAAATATAATGGTCTGGAAATGCATAACCTGATTAATGTTATTTTCAAATTAGAAATGGACACACACCTAGGAGGAGAAAAAGGCGATGTAGATTCAATCAAATTGAACAGTTCCTTCAAGGAGTTGGCACAGATGAGATGGGCCAAATGACTTCCTTCTGTATTGTAAATTTCAATGATTCAGTCCAATTCTGCAGAAGAAGATAAATAATCCTGATTCTTTGTACCCACTGACAGGTGCCAATATACATTTTTAAGTAGGAATCGCAGGACCTTCAACTGGTTGGGTTAACTTTGATTGATTCATGCCCCTCCCCTAACTCCCTGCCCCACCAATCAACACAGACACACACACACATTCTTTCTCTCTGTCTCTCTCTGACTTGCCCTCTCCTCTCAGACCATCAGCTGCTGAAACATGTTGTTTCCCTCCAACTGTTTCATCAGTTAATTCATCTCAGTCCTGGTCTGCTGCACATTTATCTATGGAGCAAAAAAGGGGCATAGTTCACAATCTCAGTTGATGCTTTTTCCCTAATAACCTAACAGTGTGGCATGCTTTACCGATTGTTTGTTGAATAGAATAATATTTTAAAGGTTTTTTTAAATGATGTATTAAGTTAAAAGTAAACATTTACTTGTATTATTTCAGAACATTCGCGACTTCAAATATGTTTAGAAAACTCAGAACACATATTCCATCTAGTGGTGAGAGATAGTAGGAACTGCAGATGCTGGAGAATCTGAGATATACAAGGTGTAGAGCTGGATGAACACAGCAGGCCAAGTAGCATCAGAGG